GATTCGTCACTCCAGAGAATACGTCTTCACTGCTGTAGAGTCCAGTGGCGGCATGCTTTACACCACTGCATCCAACGCTTTGCATTGCACTGGGTAAGGCTTGGATGCAGCTGCATGGGCATGGAAACCAATTCCATGAAGCTCTGTACCCACTGTTGTTGTGCTAATCTGAAGGCCACATGAAGTTAGGGATCTTTAGCTAATGACTCTGCAGTTGGCGACTTCTGTGCATTGTGCGCTCTGTCATGTTACGTGGCCTACCACTTCATGGCTGAATTGCTGTTGTTCCCAGTTGCTTCCACTTTGTTACAATACCTATAACAGTTGACCGTGGAATATTTAGTAGCTAGGAAATTTCATGGATGGACTTATTGTACAGGTGGCAACCTATCACAGTACCACACTTGAATTCACTGAGCTCCTGAGAGTGACCCATTCTTTCACAAATGTTTGTAGAAGTAGTCTGCATGCCTAGGTGCTTGATTTTATACACCTGTGGCCATGTAGGTGATTGGAACACTTGAATCCAATGATTTGGAGGGCTGGCCCAATACTTTTGGCAATGTAGTGTATGTATGAGAGTTAGGGACCTTAGATTGTAAGCTCCTTGGGGGCAGGGACTGATGTGAATGTACAACATATTATTATTACACAGGATTTATATAGCTCCAACAATTTATGCAGCACTTTACAACATGAGGTCAGACAGTACAAAACATTTCAATACAATAGGAATCATAGGGCCCTGCTCAGAGCTTATAATCTAAGACGGAAAGAAAAGGTAATAACAGTGAGGGATGAGCTGATGGAGAAAATACAAGTACAATTGTTATGTGGGGAAGGGTTTCAGTGGACAGAGTAGGAGATAGTCTGACAGATTGGGGTAGGGAGTTCCATAGGCAGGAAGAGGCTCAGGAGAAGCTCTGAAGGCGAGCATGGGAGGAGGTTACAAGGGAGCCAGAGGTCTTGGGAGGAACATAGAGAAATATTAGGTTGGTATTTGGAGACTAGGTTACTGGTGGCCGAGTTGTGGGTGGCTTTGTAAGTCGTTGTTAGTGTTTTGAAGTTAATTTGTTGGGTAAGCGGAAGCCATTGGAGGGATTGGCAGAGAATGGTAGCAGACACTGAGTGGTTGATGAGGTGGATGAGTCTGGCAGCAGCATTCATGATGGACTGAAGAGGGGATAGTCTATGTAAAGGTATGCCAATGGGGAGGGAGTTGCAGTAGTCAAGGTGATAGATGACTAGGGAGTTAATTATGAGCTTTTTGTTGTCTTTGGTTAGGAAGCGGCATATTTTAGAGATATTCTGGAGGTTAGGGCAGCAAGCTTTGGATGTTGATTAGATGTAGGGTCAAAACGATAGTTCAGAGTCCAGGATTACACCTAGCACCCCGGCGTCCTGGGGGACAGGTTGTTAATTTAGCTGCCAATCCTGACAAAGAAGTCAGAAGAAGGGGCACGGGGGGGGGGGGGGGGATTTTATAAGCTCTGTTTTGGATAGATTGAGTTTGAGGAAGTGGTATGACATCTAGACTGATATGTCTGTTAGTAAACTAGTGATACGTGTGGAGACTGATGGAATGAGTTAAGGGGTAGAGAGATGGATTTGGGTGTCATCAGCATAGAAATGGCATTGTAAGCCATGGGAAGAGGTGTAGACTGAGAATAGGAGAGGTCGAAGAACAGAACCTTGGGGGACCCTGGTAGAAAATGAAGGAGAGAGGAAGAAGTAAAATTGAAAGTGACACTGAAGGAGCAGTGGGATAGGTAGGATGAGAACCAGCAAATAGTAGTTACAGAGACCAAAGTGGTGAAGTTTTATGAGGAGGGGGGGTGGTGCACTGTGTCAAAGGCAGCAGCGAGTAGGAGTACAGAATAGTGTCTGTTGGTTTTAGCTGTTAGTAAATAGTTTGAAAGTTTTAGGAGAGCAGTTTCTGTGGAGTTTTGAGGATGAAATTCAGTCTGAAGGGGATCAAGAAGGTTGTTCTCATCGAAACTTGATGGTGCTATATAGGTACCTGTAATAAATAAAAAAATGTATGCATGAACACATATGGTTAGAGGTGCTTGTAGAGGCTGAATAAAACTTGCTCAATGCCTGTATAAGTGACATTTTACGTTGTGTGTGTGGGGCCTGAACTAGTTTCCTTTTCATTTGTCGTGTCATATGTCAGCTTTGAAGTATATAGGGTAAAGCTCCTAATTCCTGTGACATATTATTAGGCCAGGATAAGCCCAGGTGCTATACAAAGCATAACCATGGCCTGGTATTCCAATGCCCCTATAATAGAAGAAGCAGCTGCTGTGTTCCTGTGTTGTATCCTCCCTCTCTGTGTAGTGTGCAGCCCCATGAAGCCCAGCATCCTTCTCCTCCTCAGTGCTATCTCCTGGCCTGGCCTCCTCCTCATGACGTGTCTCTCATCCACTGACCTTGCAGCTTCTCTTACATAACATGTCTCTGTAGTCTCTCCTCCATGCAGCTATGCTGTTTCCCTCCTGAGGAGGCTCCTAGACAGTGGCCGCATTGTGTCTCTCATCTTCCTCACACTCCTGCCTTCCCTATAGCACTCACATGCTGGGTACTAAGAGGCGCACTGCATTTGCTTTTCCTTCCACTTCCTCGTCTTCCGTGTTCTTCATCCCCCTTGAATCCATAACCATTGCACCCTTTCCTCTCTCTCGCAACCTCCCCCCCCCCCCCCCCCCATTTCTCTCCGCTCTGCAGCTGATCTTTGCTGTTCAGCCGTCCCTCCCCCCTTTCTGACAGAGCACTTGGTATAGCCGTCACAGGTTGTTTAGTACGCTGCTCTAGTCTGCGGCTTGGACTGTTCCACTTCTTAGAGACGCGGAGGGGGAGGCAGCCGGCTCTTTGCTTCAATTCAGGAACAGCTGGACGGTCAGTTCCAACTCCCGGGAAGAATGGGGTTTTCCTGAAAAGAGGAGAACGACACGGGGGAGCACAGCAGACAGAACGGGGGACAGCTAAGGAGGAGTGTCAGGTAGAAGGGGGAACTGGTGCAGGAGAAGGAGAGTGGAGGTGGACTGCAGGGACAGCAGTTGTTGGGGACAGGATAGAGGGGGGTCCAGGGGGACCTGAGAAGAGGGGCTGTCACTGGAGGGGGTGATGGCAGTGTTGGAGAAGACTTCACCCTAATATTTACCTTTATTTATTTATTTAGACCTTTTCATGAGTTGTGTGCTGCAAAGAGGGATCTTCTATCTAGATCAAATGGAATCACAAGCAAAAAAAAAAACAGTTGATGTCTGTAATGGTGACCATACATCGAACCATTTAATATACAAAGCTATTATCAATAGATTTACTGTCTAATCAGAAGATCAAAAAGACTGATGCTCCACACGTTTAAAGCAGACCTTTCCCAGTTTTACTAAATTTTGCAGCAGCATGTGTCACTGCGCACAGGCGTGAAATCATCCAACACCGATTAAGAAAATGAAACACTTTTTTGGTTTTGCGTTCACCTCATGGTTCCCCTGAAGGCACTGTCTTCATGAAACTCCTGTACTAAGCTGTACGATCTCCATCTTGCGCTTTTGCAGTACTGCATTAGGCTAGGTTCACACCTATGCAGGTTGCAGTTGATGCAGTTTGTGTTTGTTCACACGTTTTTAAATGTGTTTTTGATGCTTTTTTCATTGTGCATTTTTGGGATGTGTTAGTGTTGCTATGGGGAGGTTGCGCATGTTACATGTGTTTTTCATGTTTTTTTTAATGTGTTTCCATTCTAAGTCTATGGAACCAACGCAATCTGCTACGGGCAAAAAGTCCCTGATCCTTTCTGAAAAATGTACAGGTTGAACACAGATAGATATGAAGGTGACCCATAGGAAAGAACATTTTCAGCAAATACAGAACACATGTTGATCTTGCAAGAAATGGTGCGTCACCACTTCTTGTGAGCTTCTCCAAAGATTATCTTCCTTACTAGCTATCTTCTACAATCTACCAATTACCTATGTAATGGAGAAGAAGAGCTATGGACATGTTTGTAGCATACAGTTTACTGATCAAACCGTGTATTGCACACACATTTAGAAGCCTATAACATTTGAGCGTTAATACATTCTTTTGGCCAGAATATTCATTTATTCTGCCCATTGGCATGCATAAATGTTAGATGTGTCTAGCGTTTATGTGTGTTCCACATTTTTTCTGCTCTTCAGCAGTTCCCTGCCAGCACTGTTTACTCTGTTTACGCATTTGCGAGCCAGGCTGTGTGCGTCCATAAACACACATAGCGCCTCTGGTGTGCAATGACTGTCAGGTTGGACCCTCCTTTCCCACTCTTATCCTGTATACAGTTTATGACTAAGCTGGTCTACCATGAAATGCAGATATGATAATTGTTAGCAGGGGTTCTCTGTGACCTCAACATTATTTCAAGGGTTCATTCAGGTTAAAAAAGATTGAGAAAGGCTAATTTATGTCATGCCATTTGACCAATAGTATGCTTATACATATTGATTAAAACGCGCAGAAAAAAAATGAATTCTGTATAGGTTAATCACATTTTTGTGGTTTCCTTATTGTATTTTTTTTGCCTGATGTGTTTTCCATTAAAATCAAGGAAATGCATCAAAAACACATGTCATCGCAAGTCCAGTTTTTCTTCCTATTATGGCTATGCTAGATACATTGAAGCAGTTCATGTACAGTGCACTACTTCATGCAAGGAATGTTTGACTAGGTTGGAAATTCTCTGGGTAGGTAAGTATGTAAATTGAGGTCAACCCTGGATAACAGGTACGAGTGGGAGAAAAAATAGGGAAGGGAGGAAGTGAAGTTCCTTTTTCAGCTCAAGTTTATTTCTTTGTCCATTCATTTGAAAATTTGGCTTGTTGATATCTTAGAAATGCGTCTGGAAAGCATTCTGAATGGCATTTTGATTTCAAAAACATTTGTTTTATTTTGTATACAATTGTTAAAGAATTGTCTTTAACCTATAATAATATTCTATTACCATCCCTTGTCTGTTTCAGATTTCCGGGCCTCTCAGTTTCATCCTCTGCAATCAGCCAAATCTTTCTCTGGTACCCCTCATAGTCTGAAGCAACTGAACCGGGAACTAAGAACATCAATGGAGGGCAAATACAAGGAAATAGCAGAGGTATACTACAATTGGAATTGCTATTCTTTTACATCCTTCTCTCAATGTCCTTGAGTGAGTAATCTTTAGGGGCTTCTTATAAGAGGCTATATTCAAGGGTCTTTAGGGCAATATTTTTTTGAACCTTAACAACGTACAAAAAGGTACACAAAATTGGAAGGCATTCCACAAATAAGTGTATCTATTAATAAAGCACTCCATCTTTTTACAGTTAGTATTCTAGTTCAGTGGTTCTCAACCACCAGGCCACAGCCTTCCTGTCTGTCTGACAGCTACTGCTGTCACCCTTCCTACAACATTAACACCCAGGATGAACAACTACTATATGTACTGGAAGCGAAGAGAGTGTCTGTACCTTACGCACATTTGCACATGGTGTGAAATGTGGCCAGTATGCCACCAGGGCTCTGCAACAGGAGAAGACTTTATATGTGTATTAATAATGTGTAATTGGTATATTGAGCTGCTATCTGTGTGTCTCTGCCAAATCTCATATATCAAAGCTTTCCCATCCAATGGAAAAGGAAACAGCAGAATCAAGAGATGGATTCAGATGCTGGATGTAATTGGCTAGCTGTTAACGTAAGCACCCTCACTTTGAACAGTATTGTTTTTTCATGGATAGAAGTTGGGCATAGCAATGTGCAGTAAATTCCTGGTAATTGAATGTATATCACAGTCTGGCTTGGAGGGCAGTGGCTGTAGAAGTAGAAAGGTTCATGCCTTAGTCAGCTGGATGAGTACAGAAGCATATCCCTCTAGTGGATGATACATGCTCATCCAAGGTGGTCTAAGCATTAGCCAGTCTTCCCCAAAGCTTTGGATGGTGAAGAAGAGTTTCGCTGAATGCTAATGCCCGGTCATGGCCCTTTGGATTTCCTCAGCAGGAAGATAGCAAGTAGGGATCAGGTAGAAGATGAAGCTGATAGGGAACAAGCAAAAGCATTGTCGATGAACTAGCCAAAAGGTCAGTGACGAGTAATCAATGGACAAGCCATGTGTCAATAACAAGTGGTAGCAAAGATAAGGATAGCAGCAGGTTTGCAAGGAGCAAGATATTGGCAGGAGAGAACATAATGATCTTGCAAACAGGAGCTGCAAGAACGTGGCTTAAATAGGAAGTTCATGGGAGGAGCAAAGCACATCCAAGGTTCAACAGAGACAAGGTAAAAAGCAGGAATGTACATGGGATCAGACAAGGAGCTGTCCAGCATTTCAGTTGGCACAGCTAGAAGAGCCACAGCCAGGCACCGCAGAAGTCTTTGGTTCAGATCCCTTTCAGCCCTTTCTGAAGTGATCTTCTGACTTTTTTCCATATGCATAGGTTAACCACTGAACTCCGGAATGTTCATCACGACCAGGGCATTTGTTTGCTATTCAGCACTGTGCTACTTTAACTGGCAATCGCTAGGTCATGCAACACTGTACCCAAATTACATGTATTTTTTTCACAAATAGAATTTTCTTTTGGTGGTATTTGATAATTGAATTTTTTATTTTTTATTATAAATGCGAACAAACCCAGAAAATTTTGAAAAAAAAGACACAATATTTTCTACTTTCTGTTATAAAACATATCCAATAAAATCAAATTTCCCCATAAATTTAGGCCAAAATGTATTTTGTTGCATGTCTTTGGTAAAAAAAAAAATTCCAATAAGTGTATTTTAGTTGGTTTCTGTGAAAGTTATAGCATCTGCATACTATGATATGTACTGGAATTTATGCAGCTTTAGACGCTATACGTTTAATAGAAGTGATCAAAGATTTATACTGTGACTGTGATAGTGTGGTGAGCAATTTGGCTCTAACAGATACTGGCTGGGAGGGACACTAACTGACACTGATGTCGCTAGTGAAGCTAATACAGTGGCTGAGAAGAGGCTAACATCAAGGGGAAATCAAGGAGTAACTGTGTGCCTAACAAGTGTAATGTGTGCTGGTTTTGCTCACAGATCTGGCTGTTTTTTCTTCCTGAAGTCAGATTTGATTTCAGAAAGAAGAAACAGCCAGATTGCTGTCTGTGTATAGAGTTCTGTGTGTTTGTAAACACAGAACTCTGCGCTGTGACTGGCCACAGCTGATCAGTAGGCTTCAGTCAAAATCATTGGCTGAAACCTGCTGACAAACTTGGGATGTCTCCAGTCATGTGCATCTGAAAACCAAGAAGTTCACTGAGTCGTACGGGCCACGTAGAAATACTGTGGGTGGATGACAGGTGGTTAACCGCTTCACCTCCGCCCTATAGCAGAAGTATTTCTGCAGTGCGGCACGGCTGCGCAAAATCACGTATATATACGTGATTTGCATTTCAAGGTAGGGGGCGCATGTGCGCCTCCCTACCCGCACCGCCATTGGCGGCTACAGATGTCCCGGCCGGAGATTCCCCACCGGCACCTCCCGATCGCTGAGTAGCACTGACGGGAGAGACCTGTGTGTAAACAACATAGGTCTCTCTCCTGTCAGCAATTACAAGAGAAATACACAGCAGAATTTTTTCTTAGTAAAACACACAGGGCACATGATGTAAAATAGCATAAAGTTAACCCTTTGGTCGTCCCAGATGTTAACCCTTTCCTGCCCAGTGTCATTAGTACAGTGTAAGGTTTTTATTAGCACTGATCACTGTATTAGTGTCATTGGGATGTCAGTGGCAGTTAGTCAGTTCCCATCCAGTGTTAGAATGCTCGCCGCTGTCCCGCTATAAGTCACTGATCACTGTGATTACTAGTATAAAAACAATAAAATCAATAAAATATCCAGTATATATATCACCATTTGTAGACGCTATAACTTTCATGTAAACCAATTAATTTACACGTATTGTGATTTTATTTTAGCAAAGGCATGTAACAGAATACATTTTGTCCTAAATTTATGATGAAATGTGATTTTTTAAATTTTTTTACTGGATATGTTTTATAGCAAAAAGTCAAAAATATTGTTTTGTTTTTTTTTTAGATTGTCTGTATTTTTTTTGTTTACTGCGCAACAAATAAAAACCACCAAGAACCACCGCAAGAAAGCTCTATTTGTGGGAAAATAAGGACATAAAGTTCATTTATGTACAGCGTTGCATGATCACCGAAAAAACCACCGAAAGAAAGCTCTATTTGTGGGAAAAAAATAGGACATAAAGTTCATTTATCTTTTGGAGGGCAAGTGGTTAAAGAGAATATTGTTTTGTGCATATTTTGTTCATTACATATTTACTCTCTTTAGCCAGAAGGTGGAGCTCCGGAGTCTGTTGACTGCAAGTTTCTTGCAGTGATATGTTCTATGCTGTAAAGAACATGTAATTGAACTTCTACTGTCCCTTTCCCTTTATACAATTCATATTTATACAATATGGAGTATCTGTTATAAAAATGCCACCCTCATGATGAAAGGTAGGTTCACCTTTTGTAATATGTTACATGTTACAACCATATATAGGGTGTAATGGGTTTTTTTCAGACCGTCAGTGCTTCTCCTCTAATATGCCAGTAAATACCTATATGCATGGATTCATAGGCTAACATAAAGGTACTTTTGCAGACTGGCAAAAAATAATAAACACCTGTAAACCTGTGTTCTTTAAGCCCTATGTGCATGAGGCCTTAAGTGCTAAATGATTTGAAATGAAACTGGGCCTCATGGGAGCTTTTTCTTTACATGACTGAATGGTTGGTGAATACAGGTCTTATTCACCTTATGTTGCACATTGGTAAATGAAATATTTAGTGTTTTGGACATACTGCACTATTTCATTTTTGTTTTCTGAATTCATATAGCAATCACATACTATTTCAAATATATCAGTCATATTAGTCTCCGCCCGACTTATTTTTACAATTGAATGTCTCTACTACAATCATGCATACTTTATTATTAGTTAAGGCAGAATCCAATAATTGAATGCTATTTTTTTATGTTATCGGCCCTGAGAAGGAAATGAAAAACAGCATGGGGCATATTTATAAAGCAGTGAATCTGACATCTGGCAAACTTTCTCTGCATGTATTCTAAATAAAACTAGTTGATTTTCCACCAGAAAATGAAATCACGTTTACTGTTTTATAAAAAGACCCCAGTGTGTCAGGCAGACCAAAGTTAACCTCTTGCTGTCCATGTATCTATGCTGCAATAAAGAGGGGGGACTTTATTGCTTTCTGTGCTGAGATCGTGTTTTCTGCACACATCCAGCACAGAGACGAACTGTCAAAGAGAGTTCTTGGTCCATACTAATGATCGGGTGTTGGCAGGACCAGCTCCTGATCACGTGAGCACTGTGACAGACAATCACAATGGTCACGTTGTTGGTTGATCCCTAACAACCCCCCCCCCCCCCCACTTTCTGGCCATACAGACTGTATTAAGAAAATTTGAGGGCTGGAAAAGGGTTAAGCACAGTAGAACTTTATTAAAACAGAAAGTATCATACTTCCATCACAAATAAAATACATAGGGAGTTATTATTATTATTATACAGGATTTTTATAACGCCAACAGTTTGACCAGGGCCCTGCTCATTAGAGCTTACAATCTAGGAGGAAGGGTTGAGTGATACAAAAGGTAATAGCTGTGGGGGGATGAGCTGGTGAGGAAAATAAATGGCAGTTTACTAGATAGAAGCAGAATCGGCTTCTTTAAAGAGAAAGGTTTTCAGGAATTGTCTAAAGGTGGATAGATTAGGAGATAGCTGGACAGATTGGGGTAGGGAATTTCATAGGATGGGAGAAGCTCGGAAGAAGTCCGGGAGGCAAGCAGAGGAAGAGGTGACACGGGAAATAGAGAGCAAAAGGTCTTGGGAGGATCGAAGAGAGCGGTTTGGTTGATATTTTGAGACCAGTTTGGTGATGTAGCTGGGGCAGAGTTGTGGATGGCTTTGTAAGTTGTTGTTAGTATTTTGATTTTTATTCATTGAGGAAGTGGAAGCCAGTGGAGGGATTGGCAGGGGTAGAGGGGTAGCAGACATTGAACGGTTGGTAAAGTGGATGAGCCTGGCGGCAGTATGCATGATGGACTGGAGGGGGGATAGCCTATGTAAAGGTAAGCCATTGAGGAGGGAGTTGCAGTTGAGGCAAGAGATAACCAGGGAGTGAATTAGGAGCTTTGTGGTATCATTGGTTAAAAAGGGGCGTATTCTGGGAATGTTGCGGAGGTTGAGGTTTTCATGATTTGGACAGGGATTGGATGTGGGCCTGAAAGGATAGTTCAGAATCCAGGGTTACCCCTAGCACCCTAGCATGCAGGGATGGGCTCATAGTGGTGCTATTGATCCTGACCGAGAAATCAGGGGAAGAGGCATGTGGGGGAGGAAATAATATGAGCTCAGTTTTGGATAGATTGAGTTTTAAGAAGTGGTGTGACATCCAGTCTGATATGTCTGTTAGTAAATCGGTGATACGTGAGGGAACGGATGGGGTGAGCTGAGGAGCTCCCAAAAGCATGTGGGAAAATGTGTTATGGTCTGATGAAACCAAGGTTGAACTTTTTGGCCATAATTCCAAAAGATATTTTTGGCGCAAAAAGAACATTGCACATCACCAAAAGAACACCATACCCACAGAGAAGCATGGTGGTGGCAGCATAATGCTTTGGGGCTGTTTTTCTTCAGCTGGAACTGGGGCCTTAATCACGGTAAAGGGAATTATGAACCGTTACAAATACCAGTCAATATTGGCACAAAACCTTCAGGCTTCTGCTAGAAAGCTGAACATGAAGAGGAACTTCATCTTTCAGCATGACAACAACCCAAAGCATACATCCAAATCAACAAAGGAATGGCTTCACCAGAAAAAGATTAAAGTCTTGGAATGGCTCAGCCAGAGCCCAGACCTGAATCCTATCGAACATCTGTGGGGTGATCTGAAGAGGGCTGTGCACAGGAGATGCCCTCGCAATCTGACAGATTTGGAGTGTTTTTGCAAGGAAGAGTCAAGATGTGCAAAACTCATACCCAAAAAGACTGAGTGCTGTAATAGAATCAAAAGGTGCTTCAACAAAATATTAGTTTAACCATTTGCCGACCACAGATAGCCGAATGACGGCTTCACTGCGGCCGGCCAGTTCTGGGAGGGCGTCATATGACGTCCTCCCAGATTGCGCTCTCCTGCGCACCCCCGGGGGCATGTGCAACCAGCCATCTCTGTGACCGCTGTGTCCTACGAACACAGCTGATCACATGGTATGGTAAAAGGCCAATCACAGCAGCCTTTTACCATGCAGACGAGCTTTATAGGGATGCTGACTTCATTTTCCAGCAGGACTTGGCACCTGCCCACACTGCCAAAAGCACCAAAACCTGGTTTAATGACAGTGGGATTACTGTGCTTGATTGGCCAGCAAACTCGCCTGACCTGAACCCCATAGAGAATCTATGGGGCATTGTCAAGAGAAAGATGAGAGACATGAGACCGAACAATGCAGAAGAGCTGAAGGCCGCTATTGAAGCATCCTGGTCTTCCATAACACCTCAGCAGTGCCACAGGCTGATAGCTTCCATGCCACGCCACATTGAGGCAGTAATTGCTGCAAAAGGGGCCCAAACCAAGTACTGAGTACATATTAGTTTCACCTTTTAAGTTGCATTGCTGAAATAAATGAACTTTTGCACGATATTCTAATTTTTCGAGTTTCACCTGTATACCGCAATTTGTAAACACTATAACTGTCACGTAAACCAATTAATTTACACATATTGGGATTTTTTTTAATAAAGACATGTAGCAGAATAAATTTTGGCCTAAATTTATGACGAAATTTGATTTTTTTAAATTTTTTTGCTGGACATGTTTAATAGCAAAAAGTCAAAAATATTGTTTTTTTTTCTCAAAATGATTGATCTTTTTTTTTTAAAGTGCAAAACATAAAAAAAGCACAGGCGATCAACGCACAGGCGCAATTGTCAGCCAAAGTAACACAGTGCCGTAACGCAAAAAATGGCCTGGTCAAGAAGGGGAGTAAATCCTCAGGAGGGCAAGTGGTTAAAGGTGGAAAAAGTTCTGAAATGATTTATCTTTATCTCAAATTTTTACATCACAGAAACCTGACATTTTAACAGGGGTGCATAGACTTTTTATATCCACTGTACATATATCTATATATAGATATATATCTATATATATATATCTATATATATATATATATATATATGCAGTAAAGTCTTCTTTCTGGCACCTCGACCATGCAGCTCATTTTTGTTGAAGTGTCATCATGTTGTACTGATTGGCATATTCAAGGCTTAGGACCTCTTTTTTATGTCCTTTTCCATCTTTATAAAGTTCAATTACCTTGTTACGCATGACTTTTGACAGTTTTTTTCTGATCCCCATGGCTCAGTATCTAGCCTAGTCAGTGTTTCCATGTAAGAGCTAACAAACTCATTGATTTTTATACACTGACACTAATTGCAATATAAAAAGTCACAGATGTAAGACATTAACTTCTAATTGGCATTTTAACCCATGTGTGTCACCTTGTGTGTCTGTACCAAGGCCAAACATTCCAGGGTATGTAAACTTTGATCATGGTCATTTGGGTGATTTCTGTTATCATTGTGATTTAAAAAGGAGCCAAACAACTATTTGATAATATTGTATCCATGCTATAAACCGTTGGTCCTGGATGCACAATTGGCCCAGGTGCAAATAGTAAAGATTTGCATGCCCTGTCGACTATCGTAATATGAGGTTTTAACCCCTTATTTTGAATTTGTGATGCAAGTGAGACATAATACCTTCTGTTTTAGAAAATATCTACTGTGCTTCACACTGATTATGTTTTAGACCATCTCATTTATCAGACCACAAGTCTTGCAGGACCAAAGTCACAACTGCATAGAGATAGCAAGCAGCTCATGCTTCTCCCTAGCAGCACTTGATTTAATTTTAGCTAGCAAATTTTACAGAACCTATCCCAGGCTGCAAAGTGGGCTGTTGATCAGCATTTCTGCCTTGCAGGATTAATGTCCCCAACTCAAATCCTGGTCAGGGCATTATCTGCATGGGTTTTGGATGTTTCCCTATACTTGTGTGAGTTTCCTCCATGTACTCTGATTTCCTCCCACATTCCAAAGATATGCTGGTAGGTAATTTTTTTCCTGTGAAAACTGATCCTAGTGTATGTTTGTTCGATAAAGATCTTAGATTGTAAACTCATTAAGGGCAGGGACTGATTGGAATATGAAGTATTAAAAGGCTGTGTAAATTGTCAGCGCTGTATTAATACCTGAAATAAATATTTTTTCTTTAGGAACTTTTCAGCCGCTCCCTTGCTGACAGTGAAATGCGTTCTGCTCCATATGAATTTCCAGAGGAGAGCCCTATTGAGAAACTCGAGGAAAGAAGGCAGCGGTTAGAACGTCAAATAAGCCAGGATATCAAGTAAGGACACATAATATACTATAATGATTAGTTAGCTGATCACATAAAAAGAGCCATTTGAAATGGTATAGCCTACAGTGATATAGCCTACAGTGTAAAGTAGAAGAAAAAAAAAAAATTAAAAAAAAGTGCAAGTGTTTCTGTAATGTATATAGAAGTAAATGTAAATTGAGTAGTGGAACTGATAAGCTGCAAGATGTTTATAAAGGGATATTAAAAGCTTGTGGTTAATGGTGATAAACTGTGGAACAAATAAGTTCATTAACTGTTTATTATCTGTTCTTTCTGTTCTGTCCTGTTCTCTTCTTTTTCTTCTTTTTTTTCAAACCTGCTTTTCTCCATAGACTTGAGCCTGATATTTTACTTAGAGCAAAACAGGACTTTCTGAAAATTGACAGCAGCTCAGACTTAGAGTGAGTGACTCCTGTCGTCTCTGACTGAACATTAACCTATTTAAAACATGGCTTGGTCTTCCTGTATGTTTTGGGCAAATCACACTTATGTGTTTTAGTGCTAGTTAACTCATGTGCAGATATTTGCCTTTTTTTTTTTTTTTAGTGGTACTAGTTTACATATAAGCAGCCATCTGTGTGTGACACACAGTGACCAGTGAAATCAATGTCTGTTTTTTCATCTGTCAATGCAAATTATAACGGCAACACATATCTATGCATCATGATGTGCATCAAAAAAAACACCTAAAAAATGCAAACGCAAAAGCATAAGTGTGAATCCAGCCTTATCCTTTACCTTTGTCCATCATTACAATTTTATTTCTATCATTTTTTTTCACTCATCTTTTCCCACTTTTTTGTATCCATCTCTTACTCTTCTTTCTATCTTTTTCCTCTCATTTTGCTTTCTCAGGTCATATAAAGAGGAACATGAAGATTTAGTTGATTACTTCCTAAAGGAAATTCCTCTTGAACGGGAATATCAGAGAGTGTCCATTTCGGGTGATGAGAAATGTGGAGTAAGTATGAAATGTGGAGGAAATTAAATATTCTTGCTTTTCTTAACTACTTACCTTATTATAATAGGTCTGTATCATATGTATACAGTATACTCCTGAAGTTATATGGAATGTAGTGACTGCAGTAGAATCAATGGAAAACCTAGCATTTTCAAAGGCTAATTTCACCTTTAGAACATGTTACATGTTACACTGGTATTTAGAGTGTAACATGTAACTGGCCCCCTTATCCCCCCCACTCCTTTCCCAGTGAGCTGGGGTTCTCCCTTGCAAACACTTTCACAGCTGCATCATTCATTCACAGAACTCTGTATATGAATAAACTACAAGTCCTGTCTTCCACCACGGCAGACTGCTTTTAGTTCTCAATGGACTACAAGTGCTCTGATCAGTGCAGCGGTAGGCAGAAAGCTGAAGGAAGAGTGCACAGGAGCCTGACATTGCATCTACAATCCACTGATTGTTGATGCAATGCATTGCAGGCTCCTGCAGGAAAACAATAACAAATGCACAAATTATTTTCTGCAAAAATATGCACATTTTTTATTTTTTTCCTAAAGGTGACTTAGCGTTTAATACGTGAGGTGGGTTATTTTTTAACACATACCCACCTTCTGGGTATGACAAAATTATTTTCAGCAATGGAATTAAGCACTCATAATGGGCAGAAAATAAATAGAGACAGTGGTTATTGCATTTATCTGAATGTTTTATTGATAATCATGGCACTAAAAAAAACCCCTAAAAATAAATCAAGGCATTAATGGCATTTTTTGGCTGTGCTGTGTAGAGTAGAGGTTAAAAACTCCATTTGGAGGACATCATTGATTTTCAGATACCATAAACATTTTCTGGGTGGATGGTCTGTTTCCAAAGAATAAGAAAGTGCACTTTTGCTGCACTTCAAGGGGTGTCTATCTGTCAGGTGGAGAAGACAAGCCACAGGGTTTATTATCCCCATGATGAGCTGTTTGACTGAATTTTGGAACAGTACCAAAAGATGTATGACATTGTGCCCCCAGTAACACCGCAGCACCAGCAGGTATTTGACAGTTCATTTTATGTAGCACATGGGGTACCTTGCATCAACTTGTTAATATTTTATACCACATCTCTTGAATTTTGTTAGCTATTGGAGATTTGTGTGTGAAACGTACATAGTTTATAAGGTTGAAGAAAGGCATAGGTCCATCCTGTTCATCCTATATGTGTGTGAGCTGTCAATACTCTCAGCTTCCTGGGGAAGGATTTCCACAGTTTAAGTGCTCTAACAGTAAAGAACCCTTTCCAAAATCTAAGGTTAAACCTCCTTTCTTCTAACCTCAAATCATGGCCTTTTGTCCTGTTTAGGGACCTTTGATATGTAAAATGCATTCCCTTTGTTATGGGGTCATGTAATCCCTAGCTTCTGCTCCCATTGTTTTTAAACATGGGCAATTGGAAGCAGCATCCAGGCTGCTTACAATGTACAGAGGGGCCCAAAAAATGTATGCACACTTCAAAAGTTGTTATCTTTGCCCTTTTTAATTAACCATATTGAATTATGGCAGCAATGTGTAGTATTATATTCCCCTAAAGATGTCAGTAGTCGCACCATTGTTGATGTCATCATTTGACCGTCAGGACAGAGTCAAAGAAAACAGCAAGAGTCAAAGAAAAGGTAAGCTGGACTTTCGAGGAACGCAAGACCATTTTGAAATGGTATTGTAAATTTGAAAATGTGTGTGAAGTTCAACGACAATGGTGACACGAGTTTGGAACAGAACCACCAACATGACTAGTAATCACATATAAGTGATAAGTTCTGAACCGATTACACTGCGTGTGACGTGCACAAGCAAAGATTTGGGAGGCGTCGCACAGCAACATGCTTACTTGAATATGGTGTTGCAACAGTTTACATGCTGCCGCAAAAAGTCTGTCAATCAATGTGCATATGAGCCAGGAAATAGCAGATCACGCATTGAACATACATGAGGATGAGGTTGTACAGAAAATGGTGTGGTCTAATTTAGCGCAGTTTAAACTAAATGGTACAGTAAACCATCATAATTGTGTTTATTGGGCTTCTGAAAATCCTCACATTAATGTGGACAAAGTTGTCAATTTACCGGGGCTCAATGTCTGGTGTGAACTGTCATCTAGGGGTTTAATTGGACCATTCTTTTTTTAAGGCGAGGTCACTAGTCCTGTGTACCTCGACATGCTTCGCACACCCATTTTACTGGCCATTCATGTGGCTTATGCAGATGAGGAATTAAACTTCCAGCAAGATGGTGTACCACCTCACTACCACCGAGATGTAAGAGACTATCTCGATGACATTCTGCTAGGATGTTGGATAGGGTGTATAGGTGCTGTTGAATTCCCTTCACATCCTCAGTTGCTATCTGTGGGAAACACTTAAGAATGCAGTCTACCATAGAAAACTGACTGCACTACGGGAAGAAATTGCAAAATCATGTAGAGCAATTACTGTGGACACTCTGGTCAATGTTGTTCATGCAGTAGATTGCTAAAATCAAAAGTGTCTGGATGGTAATGATGACTATTTTGAGCACCTAATGTAATTGCATAATTCAAGCATGACTTACAGCTACCCTTTGACGTTTATATAAATCTAGTAATAAAATTTTGATGCATATATTTTTCATGTTGAAGTGTTTATGCATTTGTTTGGGCCCCTCTGTATATGTATATGTAGGAAAGTGTTGAGTGTTGAGTGCATGAGACTTCATATAGACCAATATCAAGAAATGCTTGAGCTGAAGAGCATCTCAAAAGTCCAAAGGAGGGTCAAGCATCACGCTAAGTTCTGTCTAGTCAAGCCATTTACCCTGGTAAGACAAAATCTGCTTAACATAACAGGGATGTGCAAATCATATCGCCTGACGCCCAGGACATGCAGTGCGGGGCAGGTGGTTTTCTTTGACATTTAGCCCTGCTGCTGGTTTGCAGAGGATCAGCCTCGGGGAGCCATGCAGCTTACTACAGGGGGAAACAAGCAGTTTTAGTCCGGCTTGTCAGGACTGAACACGGATAGTCATTTGCAGCTGATGTGTTTAAGAAAGTGAGTGTGATGATGATTGCTGCATTTTCCTTCTCTCCTCTGCCTCCCCCCTCCCCGTGTTTGAGATGGTTGGTGTGATTACTCAGCTCTCTCTGCCCGGCTGCTTCGAAGAGTCCATGTCTGCTACTTCCGTAGCCTCCCAAGAGTCGCCTGTCCTCTTTCCCCGTCCCTCCTTCTACTGGTCAGTGTGCCAGGGCTGAGGCATCAGCACACTTCCTCTGAGCAGCTTCTGAACTTGGTTGCTTTTCTGATAAGAAATCAGAAAACAAACAAATCATCCTCCAACAGGTTAATGTGGTGTATCTGAGTGGAAAGTAAATATTTTCATGCGCTCTGGAGATGGTGACTTAATAAATTTAGAGAAAACAAATATAATTCTTTAGGAAATTTCAGAGATCAGCCTTCCCCTTCCCTCAGGAGAGGCAGACAGCTTCACACACCAGACCTAGCCCACTACACTTAACCTCTTCACTCCTACACAGTTTCACACACCAGACCTAGCCCACTATACATAACCCCTTCACTGCTACACACCAAATCTAGCCCACTACTCTTTTTTTTTTTAATTCTTTATTTTGAAGAAATAGTATAATGACTTTTACAATAAGATGACATTTGAATGGAATGTAGATAAACTTGGCACAGCAATAGGTACACAGTTATGTCCAAACATACAACTTATAAAACTCTGAAGTACGCAATACAATTAGTACATGTGAAGCCAATTAATTTTAGCCACACCCACAGAAGATACAATTTCTTCTTTCGTTTTGCATATTTACCATTGAAAAAAGAAAACAACATTCAGCCTCAGTGGGAATATATAGAAGAGAGGGATGAATTACCAACACAAAGTTTAGAAAAAGGAGAGGCTTCATGCTCTGGTGATCCCATTAGCCTACTGGCCAGTGTGGTGAGTTGCACGCCTGCCCTATTTATCTTATGATTGGGAGGCCAGTACGGTTTGATCCTTGTAGAAAAAAATAAGGGATTCAGATTTTCCAGTGTTTTTCTACTTGCTCCTTGAGCATCATAGTCATGGTTTCCATTTCTTGAATCTCATTGATTCTGGCAAGCCAATGTGCTTTGGTAGGGGGTAATGGATTTTTCCACAGTGCTGGGATGCAGGCTTTTGCCATATTGAGAAGATGTTTTAAGAGAGAGTTCTTGAAACGTTTGTTTGAAAGGGGTGTATCATGAAGGAGAAAAGCCGTGGGATTTCCTCCAAGGGATCTTCCCGTTAATGTTTGTACCGTCTGTTCCACCATGGTTCACAGCTTGGGACACTCCCAAAAAATGTGGAGTAGAGACCCCACAGAGTTCTTGCACCGCCAACATGAATTCAAGACCTGGGGGAACATGCGATGAAGTGTCTCTGGTATCCTGTACATATATTGAGAAGTTTGTATCTCCACTCCTGGTATCTGCTGGCCTGGGAACCTTATGAGCAAAGAGTAAGATTCTGTCATTCTGCTTTTGAGAAAAGTAATGTTTAGGTCCCTTTCCCATAGCTGTAAAAATGGGAGTTCAGGTGGAGCCTCAGAGGCTATCAATGAGGCATACAAACGAGAAAGCGAGTGTCGTAGTGGTTCACCGCCATACATATACACTCAAACGAGGATGGCTCCCGCAAATTGATAAACTCAGTGGGTAAAGAGTGTAAGAATGCCCCCAGCTATGCCCTCTGGAGAAAGTCCAAATTCAAAGAAAAGGCTTGTTCTATCTCCTTGGTCATCATGAGACGACCATTCCTGGAGAAATGTAATATGCGAAACAGACCTCTCTTGGAAAGTGCTGTGAAATGTGGGTCCTGAAGCCCAGGTAGGAATCCAGCTGTCCCTGGACATCTATGGCATGGGCATCATAGGGCTTGGATGCGAGGAGATATTAGTAGCTTTAAAAATGGCCTTGGACACCTGTAGTGTTGCTC